AGCTTTTATATTTATGTTATTATGGCAACTCGACGAGTTAGAGGCCCCAACTCGTCGTGTAGAACTTGGTCAGCCCGCGTGAACTTTAGAACCTACTCGACGAGTTGGAGGACCCAACTCGACGAGTAGAGGTTGTGTTTGGAAACCCTAATTTTTAGGATTAGCACCCTATTTAAAGGACCTTAAGTCCTTCCTCCAGCCTCCCTTATCACTTTTTCACGTCCAGAAGCAAACCCTAATCGAGCTAACCCCTATTTTGAGTATGTTTGAGGCTAAAAGTGTGTGTTTGGTGCATTTGTTAAGAGACTTGAAGGTTGAGAAGCTTGGAGCGAGAAGGAGTTTGTAGATCCAACATCTACTTCGTTTTGGCTTTCATTTGTAGGTAAAAAGTCATTACCTTGATCATTGTATTGATATATCTCTTCATTTAAGAGTTTAGGGCCATTTCTAGCTTAGTCTTGAAGTATTTCTGGTTTTCAACACCATCTGAATTTGTAACTTCAGATCTGGACTCCTCTAGGACCTTATGGACATAAAGCCTCAAGCTTTATGAAGCTTTGGCCCTCCTCCATGTCCAAAACCTCTTCCTAAGGCTAGTTTTGAGTGTTTTAGCATCTTGAAGCCTTGCATGCACGTAAAGTTAGCAACTTTACATGGTAACTACACCCTATGAGGCTAGATATACAGTTTGGAGCCTTGGTTTCGCTTAAAAGCGTCTGAATGAGAAAAGGACTGAAGGAACTCGACGATTTGCATAGTCAAGTCGACGAGTTGGATGAGAGTTTGCTGCTTTCTGGATTCTGCATGAACTCGGCGAGTTAGTGAGATAACTCGACGAGTTGATTAGGGTTTTCCCGTCTTTTGGACACTGCATGAACTCGACGAGTTGTTTGGAAACTCGGCGAGTTGACTCGAGTTTTTGGTCGAAGAGTTCTAAAGGAACTCGACGAGTTTGGCTCAACATGGACTATTGACCTTGATCGTTAACTTTGACCTTGACCAATGGTTGACCAAGTTTTGACTTCTTAGGGTACTTTGGTAATTTGGATCTTGATAGAATTAGTCCTATGATGATTGTAGGTGTTTGAGTTTGGAGTTGTGTTTGGGAGTTTGACATTATCATCCAGTGCTACTTGTGAGGGGAGTTCTTCTCACTATATCAACAGGGTCTAAGGCACCAAGGTCGGCCCTTTATGATTTGTATCCTGGTTATAGGATTATGTTATGTTAGTGATCTGTTAGATCTGTATCCTGGTTATAGGATGATGCTATGTTAGTGATCGGTTGGATGTGTATCCTGGTATATAGGATGATTATATTGTTAGTGATTTGTTAGATCTGTATGACTATCTGTACATGCTAGCTAGTGTATGATACTTATGTGTTGATTGTGTGATTGGGGGTGGGTTGAGGCGGTCCTACTTTGTGCTCTAGGCCAACATACCCAGGGCGGCCCGGATAGACTGCAGACCCGATAAGGCGTACTAGTCAGGCCGAAGGCCCGGAGAACAGTCCAGACAGGCTGAAGGCCCGAAAGGGTGGACCAGACATGCTGGAGGTTCTGAGAGTGGTCCCGATAGACTGAAGGCCCGGTGCGGGCGGTCCAATCATACTGAAGACTCTAAGAGTGGACCAGGTAGACTGAAGGCCCGGTGCAGGCAGACCAATCGTGTTGTAGACTCTATATATGCATGTTGTTTGTTATGATATTGTTATGGTTTGTATGGCGTTGGTATTTTGGGGGAACTCACTAAGCTTTGGGCTTACAGTTGTTGATTTTGTTTCAGGTACTTCAGATCATCGCGGGAAGGCGAAGGCGTGATCGTACAGTTCCTCATATTTTGTGATTTTGATTTCTGGGATACTCTGACATGAAACTATTTTGAAAACACTTTGTAATAATTAATGGTTTTAATTAGCTGAAAAAGTTTTCAATTGGCTTGAATTTTTTGGATGTTACACTTCACCTTCTTCAATTTTCACTCAAACAACTTCATTTTTGTGAAAAAAATGGCTTCTCCTTCCAACCCAAAAACTCTAAAAAATATCAAAAGAAACACCCAAAACACAAACCCACTCTCACATTCTTCACCAAATTTCGTCCAAAGCCAAAGGGATCGGCCTATTTATTCACCTCCAAATTTACACTTTGGTGGTGTTTACTACTCATATCACACTACTAGAAAAACAACCTTTTACAACGCGCAATGCGTGTCGTAAAACGCTCAGACGACGCGCAAATGCGTGTCAAGAAAGACCCTGTCATAACGAGAGACGACACGCTTTTGCGTGTCGTCTATTTACGACGCGCAATTACGACAGACATTTACGACGCGTGTTTACAACACGCATTGTGTATCAAGGAAGGCCCTGTCATAAAGGAAGATGACACGCATTTGCATGTCGTAACCTTACGACGCGCATTTACGACTCGCATTGCGTATCATTAAAGCCCATGTCAAGAAAGGCCATGTCATAAATAAGGATGACACACATTTTTGCATATCATAATTTTAAATGTTTACAAAAAATATTATTTATAGATTTACTAATTTTCAAATTAAATTTTTATTTAATGTCTCATAATAGAAAATAAAATATAATATACAAAAAATACAATCCATTGCATAAAATTTAATGTCATACAAATAATCGTTCCATGGAAAGATAAAACAAATCAATAGAAGTTGTAATAAAAATTTACAAACTAATTAGATACAAGAAATATAAAAAAATATACCCTCAAATTCTTTTCAAAATCTAATCTCCATGTCAGCTCTTCAACTCACTTCTCTAGTTTGTCATTAGCTTCTCTAAGGGCTCCAACATCTCTTGCAACCTGTGACAACATATTATAATTTTTTAATTACTATTTATTTTTATAATTCAAAGCATTTAGATAAAATTGTATTATATAATACTTAGATTTTTTTATAGAAAATCCACTCCCCAGCTTCAACATTCTTAATTCTTTCCTTGCTACATTTGATCTCCATAGACATTGAAGTGTAAGATTTGCTTTCTGCTTATTCACCCTTTTTTCTAATCATTTTCTTAAATACTTTACAAACATAATTCGTCCATAGTACCTGAACTATAGTTGCAGCATTGTTTCTTCTTCTTCTTCCAATCCCAAGGTCAACATTACTAGCACTAGATTTTTCTATAACAATTATTATGAATTGAAAACAACAAATTTTGACCAATAGTGACTCTTTATTTACAAAACCAAATAAATGAAAGTATAAGATGATTACCTTCTTTAGTAACTTCCAGGCTTCCAGCAAGTTTTTTATGAATGTCAGGCATGTCACTCAAAACACCCAATTCCGTATCCTTCAGGTACCTGCATTAGAAACAAACTCCATAAAATGAAACACATGGAAAAAGGTTTTTATAGACTTGCCAAACAGTGTAAATTGATAGTTTGTTAAAAATTGGAGATAGAAAGAAAGTGGTTAAAAATTGGTGATAGGTGGACCTATAATTTAAAAAAAATGTTATGATTTGGTGATATCTATTAAACTTTACAATAACAGTGTAAATTGATAGTTGGTTAAAAATTGGAGATAAAAAGAAAGTGGGTAAAGGATTACCTCCAACATAAGTAACAGCAGTACCTCTACCATCATTTCCAACACTTCTACACAAGTCACAAAAACATTTTGAAATGTAAATATAAATCTCAAATTAAAAAAAAATACAATTATTATTATTAGTAATGTTGACCTTGGGATTGGGAGGAGAGAATCATAAGAATCACGTTCACGTTGAAGAATCAGATAGACCACACCAACCACATCAATATTTAAACAATCCCAAATACCAATCTACTTTCACTCTACTTCCATTTCTTGCATTTAAGCCTTAAAAAAATCATACCATCTCCTTGAAGTGTCTTGTAGACAATGAATCAGGAGGCAGACGAAAAGAATCAGATACAACAGCAGCAACAACATATGATTGATCCATGTATCTGGTGGTGCTTGTGTAATCAGCAACAACACATTGCCTAAAATTTTCAATGTAAACGGGGTTAATTCTGGTTCTCTCAGTGTGGCTAGCTTCTTAAGTAGAGAATAGAGATAATGGGGGGCAATAACGTCTTGATTGAAAGGAGAAATAGAAATATTAAGATAACTTACAGACAGATGAGTAAGGCAAAGAATATGAGCGGGACAAGACTTTTCCTTGAGCCATCTTGATTGAATAGGAAAATAACAGCTACCACAGTTGCTATTGTTGTTGTTGCCCCTGCCCCTGCCCCTGCCCGACCTCCTCACCCCTATCCCACCTTCAGTAAGACTTTGTCCCCTGCTACATTTACACAAAAATCAACACATTTACACACAAAACAATTTGAGAATTACAAATATCAGACTTTCAATGTTTGTAAGATTCGAATCCAAGTTACTATTTTGGTTTTTTGACTTTTTTTGCCCTTTTTATAGGTTGCTGTGTAGTGATCTCATTCTAAAATAATTACCAAAATACCCTTTTTAATCGCTAACTTATTAAATAGTGATATAATTTCCAAAAATTCTAACATAATTACCAAAATACCCTTAAGTCTAGATTATATTCCAACAGTAATAACAAATGTAATTGTATTGGAAGCTTCATCTCACCTGCATTGTGAAGAGCTTATTTTCAAACTGAACCTCTTTTGTTAGGAAATCAGCTCCAATGGTTGTCTTGTACTGATTGCTAAACTCACAATGCACATACCTATCAAAATTATTCAATCTGAAACGAAATCAGAGTCCAGAACATGCTGGAAAATAAGGACATTGGTAATTAGAATTTATTGGTTCATCAGGGACATCTTCCCAACCCTACAACAGATTCATATAAACTACAAAAATGTTGAAAAAGTAACACATGCTGTTTAACTAGAATGAAATTGGTATTTTTACAAAGACCAACAAAATTAAAAAGAAAGAAGCCCACACCTACCTGCTACTGTATGTACTAGAGGCGATGAAGTTTACCCTCGATTATTAACAGCTATTCTTCAATAACGAGTTTATAAGGAGTTTCAAGATTTTATGACTCTTTTCAGCATCTGTAAAAAGTTTCTCAATTGTAATAGCAGTACTTCTGTTGAATATGTAATCAGTGATATTCACAGTTGTACCTGTACCTTGTTCACCAAGGAAAAACAGAAGAACTAGGGGAGAAGAAAAGAAGGACTAGAACAACGAAAACAAGAAAAAACAGAGGAAAAATATTGCTTGGTGCCATCTTCGTCAACCTCACCAGTCGAGGGATCAACCTGCAAATAAAACATTGATTGAGTTGTTTGTTTCTTAAAAATAAATAAACAAATAAAAGAATTATTACCTCTTTACGAATAATTTCAAGACATTGGAAAATCTGCCGACAGCTGGAACGCCTTCTGGTTTCTCGAATGCAATAAATGTTTGACCAGGTGTATCGTATGGCAAGGCTTTTAGAGGTTTCGTTGCCACCTCAGCAAACTCCTCTGCTTCTGAAGCATCCACACCAACCAAATATAAGAATTTTCTTTCTTTAAATTAATATATTAAAAGTAAAAGTGTTTTTCTATATTTTCGGTATACCCTCCTTTGATTCCTTCTGTAAACTCTTCTTCTTCTGTTCATGGCTTCAACCCAACCATGATCCAATCAACTCTTCTTATGTTCATCGCATGCTTCATCTCCTCTGTACCTAGCCATGTCTGAAGATTTCAGGATTATTTGGATCCTCCTCATCCTGTGATCCCTAACTAGTATTTTGGTATGAAGCTGCAAGTAAACAAAAAGTTAAAAACTCAAATCAAGTCAAGCCCCATTCACATAGATGCAAAAACCAAACTAATATTTTAGCATACATTATGGGAAAGTGAAAACTAACAAGATCATAAGTATGATAAACTTGTAATTTAGTGAAAGAGAAATCTTCACAGAAAAGGTAGCTCTAAACATATATACGAATATGATATGTCATTTACAACAAATCTGAGAAAAAAGTATGTTGCAACTGGTAATAAAAGTATATCTGTGAGTTTATATTAAGCAGCAAGTTTGGCATTCAAAAGTCAAAATTTACCTCTTGTACTTGAATGAATGATCTAAATATGAAGAAGCTAAAATGACCATTTTACCCTTCTTGCTAGAAAAAACAAACCTGGAACCAGGCTCATTTGGTGCTCTGCATGACATCTTTCCATGAATGAAATTGGAAGAACCAGGAGCTGAAGGAGCGGGACCGGGACCAGATCCAGGAAGAATAGGTGGTCCAGTACTGTGATTCAGAACCGGTAACCCATTCAGAACCGGTAACCCACTCGGACTTGAGAAAGAGCAAATGCATGAGAAGTATGAGGCTGCTGCAACTGTTTTGGATCCTGATTATCATTCTTTGCAGAAAAATGATTATATGAGTACAGTAGAATCATTCATAATAATAATAATTGCATAGCATAAAATAAGTTAGAAAGTTGTTGAGAGACTACCTGTGTCCTTCTGTAATGTTGTTTATGTCCAATCATAATAATTTTCTCAAAATGAGATTTCAGTGTATCCTCTTCCATTGGTCCCTGCAACCGTTGAAATAATTGTCTTGCACTGCCCTGTATAAACATACATACATACAATCATACTAACACAAATGTATACTATATCAACATGTATATTTCATATATAAATTTTTTTTTGAATATTGCCTCTGGAGATGAAAAGTCAACGATTTGTACCTGTGAAATCCTGAATTTAGGTTTCATCATGTTGACCAACATTTTCTTTAGAGGCGGAGGATATACCTTGTTCAATATGCTGGATAAACATAACATGACAAAATATTTATGAATTAATGGATAAGAAACATGAATGGAAACTGATGTTTACCTGAAGCACTGCAAATATGAAAAACGAACCCATTGCCATAAACTGAACCTGGAACCCCACATCTCCAAGCAACTTGATGTGGCAGCTGTCCAAGAACAACAAAGATGTAGGAGAAACTGATACATTCTTTGGCACTTCAGAGGAAACCACCTGATAAGAAGTATTACCCATATATAAGGAAGTGAGAAAGCTTGACGATGGGTCTAGGGTTCATGGTGTACTGTGTGAGGACTGAGGAGGAGCGCGTTTTGGGGAATAGGGAGAAGAATCATACCTAGGGCTTCATAGATAGACAATTTGTATTCCAGCAAATGAAGTTACTAGGTAAGAAAATAGGGTGAGGTTGAGGCTGATGTTGCCAGCCGGAAAGGTGAGTGAGTCGAGGTCGCCGATAACAGAGCGGTCGTCATGTGGTTCTTAACAAAACCCTAGCTTACATGTGATGATTTCAATGGTGCCTGAAGGAAATCAAAGGAGTAATTAAGAGCAAAAATACACAGAAGAGAAGAGAAGATATTACATACGCAAGTGAGAAGACGGAAAAGACGAGTGGGAAGCATCAATTCCGTAGGGTTGTATTTTGCGGGGATGATGGAAACAGAAAAGAAAATTACAAAAGAACCCTAGCCTATTTCATCCACATTCACCTTTCAAGCAAAACTCCGGTGATCTCTCTTTCTCTTTCTCTTTAACATTCCCGACAAAGCTACGGCAAGGCGAAACGAGGTGGGGTACTGAGATCGACGATTGTTGCAGAGGCCAGGGAGAAGTGAGAGTGTTTTCAAAATTTTAGGGTTTCGTTTTCCCCCGTTATCTACTCAAGGCGCGTTTCACTAAAATTATAAAGCGACTCCTACAGAGGACGCGTGTTTAATATAAAGCGTCCTCCGTGTTTTTAATTTTTTTCTTGAGACACTAATTTAAGGGCACCCATAAATGCGTGTCCTCTATGCTTCAAATTTTGGAAGGCTGATATTATTTTTAAGGGCACACAAAAATGCGTATCGTAAATCAGCGAGTGTCATTGTTTGCGCGTCATTAAAGGGTATTTTTCTTGTAGTGTCATGTCCAAAACCAACCTCAATACTAAAACCAAACTCAATTTCAAAACCAAACAAAAATGAACTTTTCATCTCAACTCCAATCGCAAATGGAAAATGACTTCAACCCATTTGACCATCATCCCGACTCCCCAATCAATTCAAACCCAGTTCCAAACTCAAAGAGAACCTGAAGTCGTCCCCAAAACGGATTTGGAGTCAGCAGAGATTCGAACACAACCCAAGAAAAGTGGAAAGGCAACTCCAAGGCAATGGACTACGACCGAAGAAAAGGCATTTGGCTCGTGCGTGGGTGGATGTTTCTGAATATCCAGTGGTCGGAAACAACCAAGATTGTCCAACTTTTTGCCGGAAAATTACAGGGCGTTTTCTTGCGGAAATGAATCTAGGAAACTCCGGAAAAATGATCAAATTTACTCGAAGTGGAGAAATGTCAACAAAGTTATAACGGAGTTTAGTGCGGTGTTTTTTGAGTGTCAAACGTCAATGACAAAGTGGTAAATGACGAAACAATTCTGCAAAGAGCTCTTGTAGTATACTGGAGTTAGAAATAGGCGAATTTAAAATTTCTACATGTTTGGAATATTATGAAATTGTCAAAAAAAAATGGCAAGATGTCCAAACTTCTTAAACTTTTATGGGTGGTTCTTCTAAAAGAACTAAAACGTCCTAAACAACGCATAATTAATAGTCTGATGTGCATGTCGGGATTAACCTCAAAGAAGAGGAGCCTTTTGATGTTCCAATAGCCACTCGTCCCAGGGGAAGAGACCGAGCCAAGCGAAAGGGAAAAGCAGCGACAAGTGGTTCGGGTGACGTCGACCAACTAACAACCAAAATATACAACTTTAAGTCGTCATTGGACCAATATTTTGCGGTCGCACAAGAGAAAGAAAGAAATTGTGTCATGGCGATCTTAACCAAAAACACTAGCAATCTCATCGGACACGAAAAAGAAATAACGATAAAAGTGAAATAGGAGATTGCGAAAAAAATATAACATTTAGGTTTCGTTATTTAAGTTTCGTGGTTTCATTATTTAAATTTCTAAGTTCATAATTTTAAACTGTACATTTTTTTTATATGATGTAATTTTCTCTTCTAATTTTATGAAATTTTAGTTTTTTTAAAAAATAGTATGTTTGAAATGTTTATTTTTTATATTAGTTAATTTAAAAAAAATTAGTATGATAAATGTGTCAATTCACGCCATGTAAATGACAAAAATATAAAGCAGTGTGAGAAATCTTAGATGACAACTATGTGAACCATGGCAAACTTAGGATCACTCCCTTCAGCCTGTCTGCTCGTCTATAGTGGAGACTGTGGAACATATTTTTGCTAATTGATTGGATTTGATTGCTCTTTGGTCCCGTATTGCGATCTGGTGGGGTGTTAATTGTCCTTCTCAGTTGACTGTGGATTCTCTTTTCAATTGGGCTGATTCTACTACATGGAAATTTGGTCAGCGTAAAGCTTTAGATGCAGTTATCTTGACTACTTTTTGGTGCATTTGGAATTTCAGGAACGGTGTGATTTTCAGAGCGAAAACGCCTAAGAAATCTTTGATTTTTGATGATGTTGTTCATAAATCTTATGTTTGGGTTTCTAGTAGGTGTAGTAAAGCCAAGCTTAGTTGGTTCTCTTGGCTTCATAATCCTATTACTGCTACTAAGTTGATGTAATTCTTTTTCTAGCGTCATGCTAGCTAATAATTTTCCGCCGTTCCAAAAAAAATAATATGAATAAAATAATGCATATATTAATTTGGAAATAAACTTTGTGAGATATTTTTAATAATTTTTTGTTTAGACTAGTGGGTGTGGGCAACTAGTTAATGGGTGTTATCACACCCAAAAATTGTCACCTCACATGCCATGTTATTGTGGTGTTATAACACCAAATGGAGGAAATGGGCAACTAGTTATAACATCTTTAACTTTCCATGTCATCATTTCTTTTTCTTTCTTTTTTCTTTCAGTTTTTCAATTTAATTTATTTTTTATTGTTTTTTTTATTTTATTTTTTTAATCACATTTGATTAATTAAAAAAAACGAAACATGCAATTTAATTAAACTCCTAGATTAACCATAACATTAAAAATTAAACGTTGATGGCAAAAAAAAACAAACGTCCTAAAAAACTAAAACCGATCAACTAGTCACCCAAATATTGTCTTTCGATTTTCTCCTTCATCTTCCGGAGCACTAGCGCTTCTCGTGGTCCCATATTTGCTTCGTTGGTCTGGAGAATGGCTAAATCCTTCGCCATTTGATCTTTCTCGGCTTGCTTACGAAGAAAATCCAAGTGCTCACGTTGCACATCAACCTTTTCTTGGACAATCTGATTAAACTTGGTGCATCAGCAACTGATCGGAGTCCATTTGCTGCTACGCATGTCGATATTCCGATATGGCTGTTTCTTCATAAGCGTGTGGAGTTTGCCAAGCACGACTTCCCAAAACCCAACTCTTCGCATATCATTTCCTATGGTTGGATTCTTTGAAGTCTCGCACCACGCCACCGCCAAAGCATACTCCTCCTCCGGTGTCCACCATAGTGGAGTTTCTTCTGCCGTTTCTGCGACTGCCTTCCCTTTCCTTTTCCCTTTTCCTTTCCCTTTCCCTTTCCCGACTGCCTCCCGCTTGTGTTTCAAGAACAATTTCTGGTGGTGGTTGTGTGTGGGTGGTGGTTGTGTGGCTGTTTGTTGCATGGATGTACAACGTAAATTTTCAAACCAAACTTTTCTATTTAAAAACACATTTTTCTCAATCCAAAAATCTCAAAAATGTCACAATATCAAATCATCAAACACATATCCAAAAACTCTATATATAACAACTCCAAGATCCTTTCAAAACATAACTAAATCTCTGATGTGTGTACAATCAAGCTGATGCCTTCCCGTGATCCTGAGAAGTACCTGAAACACGTAACACATAACACGGTAAGCACGAAGCTTAGTGAGTTCCTAAAAATAACACACATATCTCATTAGCCTCTCATGGCTATACTCAGATAAGACCCTCCGGTCAATGTGTCTCAGTGGGACCCTCTGGTCCCACAACTCATCTGGACCCTCCGGTCCCTCAACTCGGCAACTCAATATAATACACAACATATATATCACAAAGACAATAAGCGGGATATCTCAATACACAGTATATGCACACAAGACCCTCCGGTCACACATAGATTTGTTGGATTAGATGTCTAAGCCCATAACTATTATTGGTATGTATTCGAACCGACTTGGCATGGTCCATTTGGGTTGCATGGCATCAGAACGATTTGGATAGACTTTTGTGAGAAAAGGATATATATGGTTTATTAATATATTATAAGTTCTAATATATTAATATGAAATCATATTATTTAATTAGTATTGTTCAAGAATTAATTTGGAATTAATTTTGTGATCAAAAGACACTAATTAAATATATGGGGATTGATTGTGTAAATCATTCATTCTTATATATGTGGGCTTATGATGCATAGTTCTTCATGTTGGGCTAAACCCATGGAGTAACCCATGGATACTCCATGGAGGTTTTAACCCATGGAGCATGAAGAATATGGAAAGACATGAGTTACATAGTGTAACCCTAATAGCCACAATATATAAGGACCCCATGGCTCAAGAAATCGGCCCTAAGGGTTCATATGAGAGGGCTAGCCAATTTGAGCACAAGGAATTTTCTCTCAAGTTATTCCAAGTTGTTGTTGGTGTTGTGTGAACCATTTGAGGTGTCACACTTGAGGCACTCGACTCTTAAGCTCTATGGAATCAACCTACAACACAAAAGGTATGTTACTCTAACTAGTATCTTATTTGGTATATGAGAATGCATGCTAGTTATAGGTTTAATGCCTTGGAAACCATTTGCATGTATAATTAGTGAAAACATAGATCCAAGGTATTTAGGGTTGTATGTGCACCATAGGATGTTGTAGTATACTAAAACCCATTAGTGGTATCAGAGCCAAGGCTTGTTTTCAATTATACTTGATGCAAATGGCTGAAATTCGAAGTTTTTTGCTGTCTGGACAGGGGACTCGACGAGTCCATGTACAAATTCATCCAACTCGTCGAGTTGGTTCATGCACTCG